CTTACCAGATGCAAAGGCAACATCCTAATTCCGCCCCAAAAATAAGAGTTGGGTTAGCCCCCCAGTTTTCGATTTTTTTTAAAAGTCAGCAGGAGACGTGTTGACGTGTCAGTAGTGGGAGGACTTAGGAGAAAAAAAATTAAAGTGGGCTCCAAACATTCTTTTTTTCATTATACAAAAAACGAGCATAATTTAGCATTGAAGTAAGCAGAGAATTTGGCTAAAGCAAAGGAAAGAATGTAGATCATGTATAACTAGGCAAAGGATGAAAACGGACAAGAAAAAAAAAGGAATATAAGAGCGAGCTTTAATTTATTTCCCTTTGTCGTTCTAAATCTACTAAACAGGAATCACAGCGGTGTACTGTATACCAACGATTCGATATTGAACGGTTAAATGAACCACTTCACAAGATTAACAGCAGCCTAATTAACGGATAGTGTTCAAGATGGGGACAAGTCGGAATTGATGCAATTTTACTATTATCTATTAACAAAATAGATACAATAGAAATTGAAAAAATAGTATAATAAAAAATGAACATTGATAATATAAATATCGAATTTAAAAATAAATTAATTTTTGAAAATTTTTATAAACTTTTATAATACTTATTTAAATGAATAATAATGAATAACTCTTAAAATAAGGTAAGGGTTTTTTAAAAAGATTATTATTTATTACAACTTATATAATTCAGGCCAAATAAAAAACGAGATACTCTCTCTTACATATTCAAAAGAGATTAATTTGCTCTATTTTTTTAGTAATTTAGCTAAGTAACTTTTCTATAATATTTCCTAAGTTCATATTTCCAGCATTACATATGTAAAACTTATTTGTTCTTTTTTTTTTACTCACCTTCTTAATGACCTTCTTAATATCCTCTTTTATTTTTTTGCTATTTACAACTTTATAATTTTTATTGATTTTTAACAGTAATGTTTGTGTTTTTCTTTTTTTAGGAATATATACACTTTTTTCAGAAATTACTGGCGCATTTTTGGGATGAGAGCTGGTGTTACACAAGAGGAGTAAGAGGCGTAGTGGCAAGGATGAATCTGACGTAGAAGTAGAAGGGTATACTAGCGTACTATCAGAAAATAAAGTGGCACATTATTCTATCGTTTATTACTTTGAGAATGATGACAGCTACATTTATCCACAAAGACGGTCATCGCAACATGGTTGGTGATGAAGGCGAAGACGTTGCTGTCATAGAAATGGATGTCGATTATGAAACCTACCTACTCAATTCGGTCACCAATTTCAATGAGTACATGTCCTTGAAGCCACCTGAAAAACCTGTGAAGGAACCGAAAGCAGTCGAGGAACAACCAAAAGCGAAAGCCAAAAAGGGACCGAAACGACTGCAGGCACGATACACTGATGCACAAAAAGAACGGCTGTTTTACTTGGTGTATGAAGAGGGCAAGTCCGCTAGAGAGGCGGCTCTCGAGCTTAAGATTGCACCAAGGACTGCCCAAAGATGGGTGAAAATGGATCAAGACAACCCTGATCCTGATGGTGGTTTACCAACCACAGCTAGTAAAACCACACGCCCTATTGGAAGACCATCCAAACTGGGGGAGGAGCATGCGGCATTCTTGACCAACTTGGTTGATGAAAACCCATCCCTTGCCCTTGACCAGATAATGGAGAGTCTCACAAAGCAATTTGAAGGATTAGAGGTGTCCAAAACAGCACTCTATAATTTTACGACTGAAAAGTGCAGAATCACCTTCAAAAAAGCACACTTCCACTCCGTTGAAAGGAACTCGCCAGCTAAGATCGAGGAACGATTCAACTGGGTGACACGTTGGCTAAATACTGATATGGATTTCTGCAGCAATTGTGTTTTTATCGATGAATCCGCATTCCATATCAACATGAAACGAAGCTCGGCATGGTCAACAAAGGGTACTCGAGCAACAGTAACTGTACCAAAGACGAGGGCGAAAACCACCACGATTCTTGGTGCCATTTCGCCATATGGCGTTGTGCAAATATCTGTAAGATTGCCAAAAGCGATGCCTCCTTCCAAGAAACGAAAAGCTGCTGGAAGTACCAAAACTGCTTCTGCTACCAAAAGTGGAACGGTCACCGGCCACTACTTCAACTTTGTTGCTAGTACATTGGATGTGATGGACCAGCATGAGGAGTTCAAAGGGAATTATTTAGTGATGGACAATGCACCTATTCACAAACACGACGACATCGCTAAATATATCCAAAGCCGTGGTTATGGGTGCATCTATCTTCCCTCTTATTCACCCGAGCTCAATCCCATTGAGCAATTCTGGTCAGTGGTGAAGGCCAAGTTGAAGCGTCACAGGCTTTTGGAGGAAGAGACCTTGACTTCGCGGATCAGGGATGCATGCAATGAGGTGTATTTTAGCGATCTGAAAGGCTTTTACAAATATTCAGTTTCTAAGTTTGATGATTGTTTGCAACGCAAACCTCTCTAATAAATATGACTATCCCACTCAGTGAACATTGCTTCTTTGTTTAAAAGTGACGAACGATAGATAATGCGTCACTTTATCTTCTGATAATACGCCAGTACTCCCTTCTGCTTTTGCGTCAGATTCATTCTTGGTACTACGCCTCTAACTCCTCTTGTGTAACGCCAGCTCTCATCCCAAAAATGCGCTGAAAAAAGTGTAACTTGTACACTATTTAGGAATAGGTCATAAAATGCCAGCTAGCAGTCCATTCCTCCCATTCACCTTTGTTTCCCAATCCAATGCATGTGAACGATTGTCCTGCTCTAGCCCAGCATGCCCATCATCCAACTTCTTGATCCGAGGGGATTTGAGTTTAAAACGCTCAAACATAGAACATCATCCAGTTTCAGAGAAATCATTTTGCAAAATGATTTGTAAACTGCCAGCTAGCAGCCCATTCCTCCCATTCACCTTTGTTGCCCACACCAATGCATGTGAACGATTGTTCTGCTCTAGCCCAGCATGCCCATCATTCAACTTTCTTGATCTGATGGGATTTGACTGAGCTACGGTCAAACAAAGAAGTATCATAGCAACATGAGAAACATCAATTGATTAATGATTTGTACACTGCCATCTAGTAGCCCCTTCCTCCCACTCGCCATTTTTACCCAACCCAATGCATACGAACGATTGTCCTGCTCCAGCCCAATAGTCCCATCCTTCAGCTTTCTTGATTCGAGAGGATTTGAGTAACAACGCTCAAACACAGAAGTGTCATCCAAGCAACAGAAAAGTCTACTTAATTTCCAGGTCTTCCGCTCCCAACTTATTTTGCCTCTTCTTCCCATTCTCAACTGTTGCCCCACTCAAGTACAACTACCACCTGCGAACGATTGTCCTGCTTCAACCCACCATGTCAAGCATACGATTACCTTGATCCGATTGTCTTTGACTGAATGGCATGTCCATGGCGTGTACACAGCCTTCTTATCACTCTACTTCAACACGTGTCTTTCTTGACACTTCGCCTTCTCTTATACACACTCCCCTGCCACAACCAATCGTAACAGCGTTCGATCCTGTAGCTTCCATTAGCAAGGCCTTTACTCCATTGTCTCGAACAGCGTTCTCTCTGCTTGCAGCAACTTGCCTTACAGCCGCTTTTTACGTGAACAGCAGATAGCCATCGTATAGAAGCAGCATTATTTACGTGAAGCAACTTGCTTTGGTACAAAAGGATTCCTATGGATGATTCCATATCAGTTATGAATACGCCATAATACAAACAATCTTCACCTGCTCGAGCCGTGATGGAAAATGATCCAGCAAGGAAGGGCCAATAGCCGAATGGGAAAGGAAGCAGCAATCGCATGGCACTTTCAATCAACATTTTGAGCTTGCAATGGTTATGATGGGTGGATGGATACAATCAAGTTGGAATGTCTTTTCAGTTACTTGATACATCGTCAGCCGGAAATGAATGGCGAGTTCATGGCGTGTACACAGCCTTCCTGTCACTCTACTACAACACACGCCTTTCTCGATACTACACACAATGTCTTGCATTCTCGTCTACCATAACCAAACATAACAGCGTTCATTGCAACAGTTGCTATCAGCAAGTTCTTCATTGTCACAAACAGCGTTCACAGCCTTGTCATTCTACTACAGCTCAGGTCTTGAACACTTCTCTTCCTCCACAACCAAATGCAACAGCAGTTGCATTAGCAAGGCTTTGACCCCATTGTCTCAAGTTACATGCAACAACATACTTTGGTGCACATAGATTCCAATGGATGGTGTACCATATCAGCTATCATGTACACCGCAATACAAGCAATCTCCACCTGGTTGAGCTGCAATAGAAAGTGACCAAGAAAGAGATGGATCAACAGCCGATGGGAAAAAGAAAGTACATCAGCAAGCGATCACGTGGCTCTTTTCAACCAACATATTGGATTTACAATGTTATGGATGTATGGATGCAATCAAGTGCAGCGATGAGGAAGAAGTACTTGAATGTCGCTTTGCCTATTTGTCGCGTTGTCAACAGGGAAGATGGATCATATCACGTGGATGCGGCTGAGGATGATGATGGATTGGATGGAATCGAGTCAAGAACTTATGTCTATGACGAAAGGTGTTGTACAGCCATGGGTGGTATCAAAATACGCGATTCAATGCATGGAGCAGCTATTTTGCAATCATGGAGGATGAAGGATGATTATGATAGCAGAAACCAAAAATAGAACGGTACAATTATATATGTTTCGCCCATACCCTATCAATTTGAATATAAAGCCTTTTGCGCATATTGTTTTTAAGATATTGGGCTGCTCCAAGGTAGAAATATGAAAAGCCAACTTGCAATGCTTGGCACATTGCGCATTTTATGACGCTGGTTTATGGATTGTGACACACGAAGATGGAATAGATATCGTTGTAATGATGGAGGTGACAAAGAAAGGAAAATGTGGGGAATAGATAGTAACTAAATGGCAAAAGGATTGCTACGGCACCAGCAGCGGTTGAATGATACATCTTGTTGTCTCGTATTTTGGGAATGACTGATATTTGGCACATGTTGCTGTCCATTTACGAATACCTGTTGCACCATTTACTGAAGCAACTCTTCCCATCCACCAATAGCTGTACTCCCATATGCCAACTTTCAATGTCAGCCCAGTAGCAGAAAATGTATGCATAATCCTGTAGCTGGGGAGCTTCTGCTCTTTGTCGTCTACAATGTCAGCATACCCGGGAGAAGACGGTAATACTGGAATCGTCACAATCAAAGTATACGTTCAACAACTAATGCGTTGCTTAGAGCTGAAAGACTTTCTACAAACACACAGGTGTCCAAGATTCCCAAGCTTTATCAGAGAACACCAAAATGACTTTGCACTATGGTCGGTCGGTTTAGCGGCAAATAGCGCAGCACGTCTTCACGGGATCTGGCTCAATCGGTACAAGGAACTACTTGAAGACGACAACAGAGATATTCAGAGGTGAGAGAGCAGTTGCTCACATTAGATTGATACTCATCCAATGTGGTTCCACAGCAGCAAAAAAGTTGCATATGATCGTTTGCGATGGGACACAATCATAGTTGAAGTAAACAGGAGGGTATGTGCTAATAGATATTTCATTTGACGCTTGTTGCTGATAACTTTATGTATTTGCAGAGGAACTTGGCACATACCTTCAAAGAACAAGCGCTCGACTTATTGGTGGTATCTGCAGAGCCAGCGGCGGCGGAAGGTCAACGAGTAATTCATGCAACTAGTTCTACAAGTATGCTTCTTGATCTCTACTCTCCACGAACATCAGATAATGATTGAACATACTTTTTAGTTCCTGCAAAGCGCTCGGCTGATGGCGATTTGGATGAAGAAGACGAATGCAATCGTGCTTCAACATCAAATATTGAAACTACAAGGTATAGAAACAAAAAACGGCACATCCACTTTCTCTTTTCATTCAACGTGTGTTTATTTGTACCAGCAGTGACTCCGAAGCCACGACATATCACCGCCATCCAGTAATACAGAAGAATTTCCTTTGAGTTCTATTTCACAGAATGTTCGTGCACCCATTGCATCTGACCGGTTGATCATCGACGCCATCGACGTATTATGAAATTTTATGAGTATCAATTGTTCGTCTTGGATCGTATAAAGGCCACCACACTGACGATGGAACGTGACATTCATCATCTATTGTTAGTATGTTGTATTTAATTTTCGCAATCAGTCGCTAACGTTTTTATAGATCTCTTGCATCGGTTTTATTGGTGAACAAAGGTCGTATGCACCCTGAATCAAGAAAGTTCTTCAACAATGACCTTGTGAAAAAATTGCTTCGACCATTTGATACAACAGTCAAGTTCCCCAACATGTGATGGTCAAATTGATGGAAATTGTTTGGGTAAGCTATCAAATAGGAGAAACACGCCATTCTTTATTCCTTCACTATATCATCATTTTGGGCTTACGTGTCTTTGTATGTAGGATTTTTATTATGGAAGGCGAATCAGGCTGGATACGTATGCCAAGATCACAGTTTGTTAAGTGCAGTTGACGATCTGGATATTGACGACCTGGATAAAAAGATTATCATGTCCATCCATCAATTGTAAGTCTTGCTTGTAGTATAGATGAATTGTGTGCTTATGACATATTATTAGATGTCTATCCTTGCCCTCAGATCACGTCATGAACGACACATCAGAAAATAACTATTGCACCCGATATTTGGCACCAGCCTTGCAACCTTTATTCGATGATGATGAGACGAACACCCAAATACTTTGGTAAGTTATTACAACGTATATGGTATCTTTTTATTTAACGAGCACCTTCTGATTTAGGCCAACCACTGTCCCTGCAAATAAGCGATCCTTTTCTTGGCAAATCGACGGCCCGACTGTATCATTTCAACATTGATGGACAATAATTTCGAAATCAACATTGATATGGAGAAGTGAAATCGGCTGCTGAATACGACAACCATTATCAAACAAATATGGACTGTTGCGACTTGGACACTTCTGCAAAGATACAATTGATGTACACAAGTTACAAGCTAGCCTTGGCATATATGTAGTTGGTAAATCCTTGGGAATTCTTCTCTTTTAAAAGAATATCCATACTTAACTCAATGCTCTAGGTCCAAATTTGACATACTATCTTATGGAACTCAAGGCCGATGGTCTGTATCTGATGGAAGAGCTTGTCACAATCAGAATGCCATTATGTATCAAGGACATTCCTACATATCTTGCGAGCCTTAGCCAAATCAAGAATGTCACCCATCACTTTTACCATCATTGCAAGCAATCCGATGCATCCGCGATGATAATCATTAGCAAACGCAACAGAGTTAGTCCCACTGCTGAAAACCTTGATCATGTCATTGAAAAGACCATTGATCGCAAGCGACATAATCATGTCAAATATTGAATAAAATACCAGACTTTGTCCACTTTGCTCATAAGATAATACACAAAGGAGCAAAAGATGAATCTCTTCTGAGATCGATGTTCAAGCCACGAAGCTGAGCCTTCGTTACAAATATTAGGTATACCAGAAGACGGTAGTGGGTGTTTTGTCCTTGTGCATGATGGATATCCCAACAGCCTGGACCCAGAGTTTCATTAATAGGATGTATAATAGAGGACATCAACAGCTCATTTCAAATAAGTATGGATGTCAACATTGGCAATTACATGTTATTAAGCGCACGATTGGTTTGAAGCCTGTGGTGCTTTGTATATTGCGTAAGACATTATGTAGCATTCATATGTATAAATGGTGCAGCGATAGGTTTTCTACATGTATGAAAGATATGGGAAGATGGTTCTTGTGATTGGGTGTTTCCTAGGAAATTGTGCAGGCAAGTGCTCCAAGGATACGACAGTACTCATTCTCGGCTATACATGTTGTAATCGCAAGGGATAAAAATCGTGCATGATGCAATAGGGAAAAGAAACCACACAGAAGCTGGAAATGCATAACATGGTAAAGGCATACGCTACTTGCAATGGTCCATGCATGGGGATAAATCCAGCACACATGACAATCTACGATCCCACTGCTTTCACTTAGGGCGTCCTCAAAGAACTACTGTTGACACTTGGGAGAGCCAACTGATTCCTTTGCCTTTGCCATGCTTTTGCCGATAATATCAGACAACAGATCTCATGCGCCCGATATCAGGAATAGAAGTTAGTTGATATGATATGTATAAAATGGAAGTAATAAAGATACTTGCCTTGAAGCCGGACAGGCATAACATGATGAAGGCATATGCTACTTGCAATGGTCCATGCATGGGGATAAATCCAGCACATATGACAATCTACGATCCCACTGCTTTCACTTAGGGCGTCCTCAAAGAACTACTGTTGACACTAGGGAGAGCCAACCGATTCCTTTGCCTTTGCCATGCTTTCGCTGATAATATCAGACAACAGATCTCATGCATGCGATATCAGGAATAGAAGTTAGTTGATATGATATGTATAAAATGGAAGTAATAAAGATACTTGCCTTGAAGCCGGATAGGCATAACATGATGAAGGCATATGCTACTTGCAATGGTCCATGTATGGGGATAAATCCAGCACACATGACAATCTACGATCCCACTGCTTTCACTTAGGGCGTCCTCAAAGAACTACTGTTGACACTAGGGATAGCCAACCGATTCCTTTGCCTTTGCCATGCTTTCGCTGATAATATCAGACAACAGATCTCATGCATCCGATACCAGGAATAGAAGTTAGTTGATATGATATGTATAAAATGGAAGTAATAAAGATACTTGCCTAGCCGGACAGGCATAACATGATGAAGGCATATGCTACTTGCAATGGTCCATGCATGGGGATAAATCCAGCACACATGACAATCTACGATCCTACTGCTTTCGCTAGGGCGTCCTTAAAGGACTACTGCTGACACCGAGGAGAGCCAACCTTGAAACCGATGTGGGGTAAAATAAAAGTAGCAGAGGTCTATTCCAAGGCTGGCTTTGCTGCTGCTTCGCACCATGCCAAAACCACGTCACCAGGATACAAGATCGGAGTTTGCCCTCACTCTCACAAGCACTCTGGTAGACCTCTAGGCATGTATCCTAGATAAAAACACTCCATCACTGAGACCAAATGACTGGATCATCTCAAGATACCACGAGTTCCGTTATGGATGTAGTTACAAATATGCCTGCATAAGCCAAAAATATTTTGTCAAACACAAACTCTAAGAGGTCAACCCGATGTGTGTTTGGCTGGTGACGACATGGCGAAATTTGGGGTTGCCCACCTCGATGGTGAAACTCGCACACAAGGTGCTTTGGACCAAGCCGAGCAGTTTTGCTCTCATAAGGATTCCACGATTGATTGTAGAAATTTGAGAAACGATTGTATTTCTGTTTTCATTATGCTCGCTGTAAGCGTGATGCTACATGAAAAGAGGTCTTCACTCATTGTGAATAGCTAGAATTGGTGTAACAAGCCGAGCGGTGTTGTGAAGTGTCGGCTGGCTATTAGTACTTCTCAAACACTCATGCATTAGTGCCGTTAGAGAGTACGAATAAACAACCCTTTCTTCCCCCTAAAGCTCCTTTGCAATTGGTTCATTACATCGTATACGTTGTCGCTTGTATGAGTTGATGCTCAGCTCTTAGGGCAGTTGAGCATTACAGCAGTAAAAGGTCGCATTACAACAGTGGACGAGACCTGAAGGATCAATACTACGCCTATTTGAATGATATCACGAACGAGGGGTTCCAATTGCCCGGCTATTAAGCAAAGATTGTTGGACTTGACTGCCATGCATGCCATGTCGATTTACAAAAAGCTAAAGATATGTTTGATGTATACAAGGATTTACTAGCAATGGCATGAATGTTATGATGTCTGCTAGGGATAAAGAAGGTTTATTTTATAATGTAATGATCATCTCTAGTAATTGCAGTGACGCTAATGTGGGTCTCTGTGCATAGAATATCATAAACCTTTTACTCGATTCCATCCAATCCATCATCATCCTCAGCCGCATCCACGTGATATGATCCATCTTCCCTGTTGACAACGCGACAAATAGGCAAAGCGACATTCAAGTACTTCTTCCTCATCGCTGCACTTGATTGCATCCATACATCCATAACACTGCAAATCCAATATGTTGTTTGAAAAGAGCCACGTGATCGCTTGCTGATGTACTTTCTTTTTCCCATCCGGCTGTTGATCCATCTCTTTCTTGGTCACTTTCTATTGCAGCTCAACCAGGTGGAGATTGCTTGTATTGCAGTGTACTTGATAGCTGATATGGCACACCATCCATTGGAATCCATGTGCACCAAAGTATGTTGTTGCATGTAACTTGAGACAATGGGGTCAAAGCCTTGCTAATGCAACTGCTGTTGCATTTGGTTGTGGAGGAAGAGAAGTGTGCAAGACCTGAGCTGTAGTAGAATGACAAGGCTGTGAACGCTGTTTGTGACAATGAAGAACTTGCTGATAGCAACTGTTGCAATGAACGCTGTTATGTTTGGTTATGGTAGACGAGAATGCAAGACATTGTGTGTAGTATCGAGAAAGGCGTGTGTTGTAGTAGAGTGACAGGAAGGCTGTGTACACGCCATGAACTCGCCATTCATTTCCGGCTGACGATGTATCAAGTAACTGAAAAGACATTCCAACTTGATTGTATCCATCCACCCATCATAACCATTGCAAGCTCAAAATGTTGATTGAAAGTGCCATGCGATTGCTGCTTCCTTTCCCATTCGGCTATTGGCCCTTCCTTGCTGGAACATTTTCCATCACGGCTCGAGCAGGTGAAGATTGTTTGTATTATGGCGTATTCATAACTGATATGGAATCATCCATAGGAATCCTTTTGTACCAAAGCAAGTTGCTTCACGTAAATAATGCTGCTTCTATACGATGGCTATCTGCTGTTCACGTAAAAAGCGGCTGTAAGGCAAGTTGCTGCAAGCAGAGAGAACGCTGTTCGAGACAATGGAGTAAAGGCCTTGCTAATGGAAGCTACAGGATCGAACGCTGTTACGATTGGTTGTGGCAGGGGAGTGTGTACAAGAGAAGGCGAAGTGTCAAGAAAGACACGTGTTGAAGTAGAGTGATAAGAAGGCTGTGTACACGCCATGGACATGCCATTCAGTCAAAGACAATCGGATCAAGGTAATTGTATGCTTGACATGGTGGGTTGAAGCAGGACAATCGTTCGCAGGTGGTAGTTGTACTTGAGTGGGGCAACAGTTGCGAATGGGAAGAAGAGGCAAAATAAGTTGGGAGCGGAAGACCTGGAAATTAAGTAGACTTTTCTGTTGCTTGGATGACACTTCTGTGTTTGAGCGTTGTTCACTCAAATCCTCTCGAATCAAGAAAGCTGAAGGATGGGACTATTGGGCTGGAGTAGGACAATCGTTCGTATGCATTGGGTTGGGTAAAAATGGCGAGTGGGAGGAAGGGGCTACTAGATGGCAGTGTACAAATCATTAATCAATTGATGTTTCTCATGTTGCTATGATACTTCTTTGTTTGACAGTAGCTCAGTCAAATCCCATCAGATCAAGAAAGTTGAATGATGGGCATGCTGGGCTAGAGCAGAACAATCGTTCACATGCATTGGTGTGGGCAACAAAGGTGAATGGGAGGAATGGGCTGCTAGCTGGCAGTTTACAAATCATTTTGCAAAATGATTTCTCTGAAACTAGATGATGTTCTATGTTTGAGCGTTTTAAACTCAAATCCCCTCGGATCAAGAAAGTTGGATGATGGGCATGCTGGGCTAGAGCAGGACAATCGTTCACATGCATTGGATTGGGAAACAAAGGTGAATAGGAGGAATGGACTGCTAGCTGGCATTTTATGACCTATTCCTAAATAGTGTACAAGTTACACTTTTTTCAGCGCATTTTTGGGATGAGAGCTGGCGTTACACAAGAGGAGTTAGAGGCGTAGTACCAAGAATGAATCTGACGCAAAAGCAGAAGGGAGTACTGGCGTATTATCAGAAGATAAAGTGACGCATTATCTATCGTTCGTCACTTTTAAACAAAGAAGCAATGTTCACTGAGCGGGATAGTCATATTTATTAGAGAGGTTTGCGTTGCAAACAATCATCAAACTTAGAAACTGAATATTTGTAAAAGCCTTTCAGATCGCTAAAATACATCTCATTGCATGCATCCCTGATCCGCGAAGTCAAGGTCTCTTCCTCCAAAAGCCTGTGACGCTTCAACTTGGCCTTCACCACTGACCAGAATTGCTCAATGGGATTGAGCTCGGGTGAATAAGAGGGAAGATAGATGCACCCATAACCACGGCTTTGGATATATTTAGCGATGTCGTCGTGTTTGTGAATAGGTGCATTGTCCATCACTAAATAATTCCCTTTGAACTCCTCATGCTGGTCCATCACATCCAATGTACTAGCAACAAAGTTGAAGTAGTGGCCGGTGACCGTTCCACTTTTGGTAGCAGAAGCAGTTTTGGTACTTCCAGCAGCTTTTCGTTTCTTGGAAGGAGGCATCGCTTTTGGCAATCTTACAGATATTTGCACAACGCCATATGGCGAAATGGCACCAAGAATCGTGGTGGTTTTCGCCCTCATCTTTGGTACA